ACAAAGAATGGTATAGGATCTATATTTGGAACTTTTTTTTTGTAAAAATGTAAAATATGTCAAGTAAGTTTAAATGTATAAATGCAATTCATGAAATTTGACCTCTGGGCTTTTTGTAAGTGTGTGATTCTTGTGCAGTTCTAATAGCTTCATGACATTAGATGCCATTTTTATTATACACACAGATCTGTAGACTCTGTGCATTTGTGTGTTACCAATAATTTTTTAACAAGCTTCATAATTATTTTTTTCCTGTCCATTAACTGACAAATAGTTATGAACACCTATTTGTAATCTTATGAAAACTGTGTCTGTGTAAGCTTGCTGTGGTGGCTCATGCCTGTAATCCCAGCACTGTGGGAGGCCAAGGTGGGAGGATCACATGAGGTCCTGAGTTTGAAACTAGCCTGGCCTACAGAGTGAGGCCCTGTCTGTGTCTACTACATATACAGAAATTAGCTGGGTGTGGTTGTACAGCCTATAATCCCAGCTACTTGGGAGGCTGAGGCAAGAAAACAGCTTGATCCCAGGAGGCAGATGATGCAATGAGCCGAGATAGCACCATTGCACTCCAGCCTGGACAAGAAGAGCGAGACTTGGTTCTGTTGCAAAAAAAGAAAAAAAGAAAAAAACATTGTGTCAGTGGTCAGTGTAATACAGTTTTTTTGGTGTGGCTCTTCCTTATTTCTCTCTCTCACATTTTTTTTTTTTTTTACATTCACAGGTAACATTGTATGATTTTATTCTGTATGAGATGATGTTTGATGTACAAAAGCAATGTGGAATAGTTAAATACAGAGAATTAATAAATGCATTTTCTCACATAGTTACTTTTTGGTAAGAGCAAATTAACATCCATACTCTGAACATATTTCAACAATATACCTTCACTAACTATAGTCACCCTGCTACACAATGGATCTCTTTAAATTTATTACACCTGTCTGACTGTAATTACAAATCCTTTGATAAAACTCTTCTCATTATTTCTTTTCCCCTAAAGCCTCCAGTCTCTGGTAAAAATCATTTTACTCTCTATAGAGTCTTCCATTTTTTTCTTTTAAGCTTTCTCATAAAAGTGACACCATGTGGTATTTGTCTTTGTATACCTGATATAGTTCACTCAATGTAATGTCCTCCAGGTTCATCCCTGTTGCTGCAGATGAGAATTTCATTTTGTTATAGCTGAATGCTATTTCATTGCATATATGTATCACATTTTCCTTATGTATTCACTGATGGACACTTGAGTTCATTACATTGCTTGGCTAATGTGAATAATGCTGAAATAAACATGGGAGTGCATAGATCTCTTTGACATTCTGGATTCAATTCCTTTTGATATATACCCAAAAGAGGAATTTCCGGATAATATATTAGTCCTATATTTTAATTTTCGAGGAAGCTCCAAACTGTTCTTGGAGTATAATGGATATAGTGATGTAAATGGATGTACTAATTTACATTCTTATCTGCAGTGTGCAAGGGTTTTCTTTCCTCCATAGTCTTAGTTTTTTGTTTCTTCTTTTTCTTTTGTTCTTTAAATAGTGATTATTCCAACTGAAATGTGGTGATGTCTCATTGTGGTTTTGATTTGCATGTCTTTTTTTTTTTTTTTTTTTTTGAGACAGGGTTTCACTCTTGTTGCCCAGGCTGGAGCGCAATGGTGTGATCTCAGCTCACTGCAACCACCACCTCCCAGGTTGAAGCGATTCTCCTACTTCATCCTCGCTGAGTAGCTGGGATTATAGGACTGTGCCACCATGTCCAGATAATTTTTGTATTTTTAGTAGACTGGGTTCCATTATGTTGGCCAGCTGGTCTCGACCTCCTGACCTCAGGTGATTAGACTGCCTTGACCTTCCAAAGGGCTGGAATTACAGATGTGAGCCATGAAGCTGACCATGTGTCTTCTTCTGAATAATGCCTTTTGAGGAAAGCCTATTAAGAGACCTAATTTTTTATACAGAGTTATTTTTTTTTCTTTCTAATTTTCAAAGTTTAACTTCTATTTTAGGTTCAGGGGTACATATGCAGGTTTGTTATACAGGTAAACTCATGTGATGGGGATTTGTTATACAGATTATTTCATCACCCAGGTATTAAGGCTAGGGCCCATTAGTTGTTTTCCCTGATTCTCTCCCTCCTAACACTCTCTATCCTTTGACAAACCAGTATGTGTTGTTCCCCTCTATATGTCCATGTGTTCCTATCATTTAGCTCCCAATTATAAGTGAGGTTATGCGGTGTTTGTTTGCTTTTGAATCTTTTTTTAGTTCCTTATGTATTTTGATTAACCCCTTGTCTGATGTATAGTTTGCAAATATTTGCTCTCATTATTTTACTCTGGTTATTACTATTATATTTTTTTTTCTGTATGAAAGCTTTATAGCATGATGTAACCTCATTTGTCTGTGGTTTTTATGCTTATGCTTTTGAGGTCTGTTTGTGTTTTATTCTAGTAGTGTGATAGTTTGAAGTTTTCATTACATCTTTATTTTAATTGCTTATTAAAATGTATTTTTACAGATGAGGTCTCATTACATAGCCTAGGCCAGAGTGCAGTGGCATGAGTGTAGCATTCTGCAGCGTTGAACTTTCAGACTCAGGTGATCCCCCAAGTAGAACTGTAGGTGACACCACTGTAGGCTTTTTCATCCATTTGAGTAAATTTTTCTATGTGGTAAGAGATAGGGTTCTAATTTTATTTTTCTGCGTGTAGCTCTTTTGTTTCACCAGCACCACTTATTGAAGAGACTGACCTTTTCTCATTTTGTGTTCTTGTCACCTCTGTAGAATATCAGCTGGCTATGCAGGTGTGGATTTATTTTTGCTCAGTGTGTTCTGTTGTATTGGTTTATAGCATTGTGATGCCTCCAGCTTTGTGGGTTCACTCCCCAACCCCACTATCATCTTCTATATTGATTTGGGTATTCAGGGTTTTTTGTGTGTGTGCTTTAATATTAATTTAGGATTTTTTTTTTTATTTCTGTGAAAAATGTCGTTAGTGTTTTAATAGAGATTGCATTGAATTTGTAGACCTTTTGGGGTCTATAAACATTTAAACCATATTACTTTTTCCAATCGGTGAACATAAATAACTTTCAATTTATTTATGTTATTTTAATTTTTTGCTAATGTTTCCTAGTTTTCAGAATGTATTTTTTATACCTCCTTGGTTAAATTTATTTTTAAGGTTGTTTTGTTTTTTTCCCAAAGCTATTGTAAATGGGATTGTTTCCTTGAGTTTCTTTTTTTATAGATATTTTGCTATTCATGTATGAAATGCTACTTAATTTTGTATATTGATTTTGTTAACTGAAACTTTACTGATTTTCTGAAATAGTTCTACCTCCTTTTTAGAGGTATTTTTAGGAATTTCCACAGTATGTCATTAATAAATATGGATAATTTTATGTCTTTCTTTCCAATTTGGGTATCTATTTTTAAATTTCTCTTGTCTAATTGCTCCTGCTAAAAACTTCCAGTGTTACTTTTATAAAAAAAAACTTCAAGTTTTATATTTAGCAAGTTAAAGTGTACATCCTGGTGTTCTTTCAGATCTTTGCAGAAAACTCTTCTAGTTTTAACTCTCATTGAGTGTGATGTTAGCTGTGGGTTTTTCATGTATTGAATTATTTGGTTATTCTTGTCTATGTTATTTGTTATGTTGACAAATGCTTTTTTTTACTTATTGAAATGACTGCCGAGATTTTGTTTTTCTTTTATTTTGTTCATGTAATGTATGACATTTAATGATTCTTGTGTATTAAACCATTCCTGCATTCCTGTCATGTCTCTTGATCTTGGTGAAGGATTCTAAATGTGCATTATAAGTCAGTTTCCCAGTATTTTGATGAGGATTTTTACATTATGTTATTCAGGAATTTTGGCCTGTAGTTTTTTGTCTTTTTTGTTGTGTCCTTGTCTTTTTTTCAAATCAGCATGACTCGCCCCATGGAATGAAACAGTTCACATATCTTCTTCTTTTTTTTTTTTTTTGGCTAGATTAAAAAGAATTGGCAGGAGTTCTATTTCAGGGGTAGATAGAATGCAGAGTGAATCCATTGGGTTCCTGGGCTATTCTTTAAAAGGTGACTTTTCATTGCTGATTTGATTTTTTACCATGAATTTGTTTCTGGGTACCAGGTAGGGTATCTCCTTTTTTGTCTCTGATTATATTTTGTAGGGACTTTTTTTTTTTTTTACTTTTGATTTTAGCTTTTTGTTTTCCTGTTTCCTTGATTGAAACATCAAGTTTTGTATTTAATATGTTCTTTTAAATATTATGTTTTCTCTTTAATGTTTTCATTGACTCAGAAGTATGTTGTTTAATTTTCATATACTTTTGAATTAGTGATTTCAGAAGAAATACTTGATATGAATTTGATCTCTTCAACTTGATTGTATTTTTTAATTAATGTATGACAGATACTAGAAAATGTTCTATGTATTTAGTAGAGAAGAATGTGTATTCTATAGCTCTTGGATAGATAGTTCTGTAAGTGTTTTGTCCATTTGCCCTGCAGCGAATTTTAGTTCAGTGTTTACTTATTGATTTTCTGTGAGCATAATCTGTTCATTGTTGAAAGTAAGGTGCTGAAGTTTTCTATTAGTATCTTGCAGTTTTTTTCTCCATTTGGATGTATTAATATTTACATTATATTTATGTATATATTAACTATATAGATGTATTTCTGATACGATATTTTTTTTCCTCTTGCTTAATTCTGTATCATCTCTATGTCTTTAATATTTAGTCGTTTGATTATATTAAGTATGGGGATTTTCTTATTTGGATTGAATCTGATTGGAAGCATTTGACATCCCTGTACCTGCTTATTTATATTTATATTTAGGCTTGGAAAGTTTTCTGTTGTTATTTCTCTAAATAAGCTTTCTACATTTTTTTTCTACATACACATTTTTTTTCTTTGAGATAGAGTTTTGCTCTTGTTGCCCAGGCTGGAGTGTAATGACATGATCTTGGCTCATTGCCACCTCTGTGTGCTGGGTTCCAGTGATTCTCCTTCGTGAGCCTCCTAAGTAGCTGTTATTACAGGTGTACACCACCACAGCCAGCTAACTTTTATATTTTTAGTAGAGACTTTTATATTTCACCACATTGGGCAGGCTTGTTTAAAACTCCTGATCACATTTGATCCACCAGCCTCATCCTCCCAGAGTGCTGCAATTACAGGCATGAGCCACCTCACCCAGCTTTACCACACTCTTGAACACCAGTGACTAACACATTCGCTCTTTGGATATTGTCCCATAAGTCCTATGAAGTTTCTTTATTTCTTTTTTTCCTCTGACTGTATATTTCAATGAACCTGTCCTTGAGTTTTTCTGCTTGACCACTTCTGCTGTCAGTGCTCTCCACTGCATTTTTATTTTGTTGTGGTTTTATCTTCAAGGTTTTTGTTAGTATTTTTCTCGCATTATATTATCTCCCTGTCAAGTTTCTCTGATAAATGTCTGAATCATTTGTGTTTTCCTGAAGTCTACAACATTGTCTTAAAATAACTATTTTGAATTTTTTGTCAGGCCATGTATCTATGCCAGTCTCTTTTGTGTCAGTCACCACTGGCACCTGATTTTGACCACTTGGTGCCATCATGTATCTCTGATAAATCCTGATCCTTGTGACTATGCATTGATGTCTGTACAGTGATGTAGGTGCCTGATTCAATGTTCACAGTTTGGCTATTTTTGGAAATAAGCCTTTCCAAAAATTCAGGGCAAGAAGAAAGAAATTAAGGTCTTTAAGTTTATGATAGCTTCAGCCCTGGTAGCACTAGGGGGAACCTTGATGTCCAGACATTGATTGCTGAAGTAATTTCGTCACCAAAGCTGACTCCATACTGACTTGAACACTGGGAGCACTCAAGTACAGGTTGCACCTGTAGCCCATGGTTGAACACTGGGAGCACTCAAGGCCTGCAGCTGCCATGGTCTGCCCTCCCAGATTTATTCAGGCCTCAGGTCACTTTAGTCAATCAGTAAAACTATTGACTGGAACTGGAGTACATTTTGCTGAGGCCAGTTTCTCATCTGTTGCTGTGATGGGTCTGGAAGCTTGCCCCTTGGTATCAACCTCCCAAAGTGTTGGGGTGAGAAGACAGGCAAATATCAGTCCCAAGACAAAGTCCTATGCTTACTTCCTGGGATCAAGAATCCTCCCAGCTCAGTCTACTGAATAACTGGGACTAGAGTCATGTGCCACCATGCCTGGCTAAATTTTGTAGCAACAGGTTTATACCATGTTTCCCAGGTCAGTCTTGAACTCCTGGGCTTGAGTGATCCACTCACCTCAACCTACTAATGTGTTAGGATTATAGGTATGAGTCACCACATCTGGTCAACTTTACTTTCTAAAATTTAAATTTTAGGTTACTTATTTTTATTGTCTTATTTCTCATAAACGAAATTTAGGATGCTAATGATTTAGAGTTTCACTTTGAGTTTTCCTTAAGGAATAAATGGAGTGTTGATGCTCATTTTCTAAATCGTCTTAGAAAATGAAAAAGTAATTTGGATGAGAAATGACAACTTGACCACTTTTTGTTTTCTGGCTTCATTTCATTGTGTATGAAGAGTGTATTTTTTTTAGCCTGCATGTATATGTGCAATGAGTTTTTACTCTTTCAACCGAATACAGTACAAAATTGTTTAAACACACTATGCAACTACTTCATAACTTAGGCTTTCTTCCATGTGCTTATTTGTCTAATTATTAAAAGAACAATGTTGAAATTAAATTAATTTTGCTCATGAAGAATTTTCTGATAAAATTACATTAATAGACACAAACACACATATGCACACACTGCTTAATTTCTAGAACTTAGATTTTCTGTTTCTCTAGTATCTTGTATTCTATCACTCAGCAAAATCTGTCAGCTTCACTTCCAGGATTTACTTTAACTCCACAGCTTATTTCTTGTTTCCTATTATTACCATAGTCTAAAACACAGTTCATGTTACATTGGCCGCTACTTTACACTCTAACTTGCTATTTTACACTCTTAACTTTCTATGAAGACTAACTTTTCAATGTCTAATTCAGGTAATTTTATTATTTTTTAATTGAGACTGCTTTCTATGTGCTATAGCATCTTATAGCATCAGATCTGAATGTCTCTCTCATATTTCATCTTTGCCAGTCTTCCCTTTGAGGGAATGTGTATATACCTGTAGAAATGTAGGTATGCATGTATTTGTGTATTTGTTTTTCCAAGGTGCATGTATGTATTGCATACATAAATATTCCTGGTATTAAAAGATTAACAAAGCTTTTATTATTATTATTATTATTTTGTAAGTAAATTATTTTCTAAAGGAGTTGAGTGGGGGATAAATAGATCTTAAAACTGCAAGGTTAGAAGAGAAAGTGAACATTACTAACAAAAAATATTTTCTAACATTTTTATGTTTATCTTTAATAGCCTTGCTGATGACATGTTGCCTGTTATCAGGTGCTTATGGGGCAATTCTCTGCAGTATACTAGCCATCCAAATCAGCAACGATGATACTACCATTAAGCTACTGCCAATGGAACTCTTCTATGTGATAATATGGCGTTTCCTAGAAATTATCTCACGGGCAGTGGCTCTGGCATTATTTGCTGCATCTCTGAAACTGAAGAGCCTACCCTTTCTATTGGTCATATATTTTTTATCAGTGTTGGCACCGTGGCTGGAGTTCTGGAAAAATGGAGCTCATCTTCCTAGCAGTACAGAAAATAATTCCAATGTGGTGGGTACAGTACTGATGCTTATCGTCATCACACTACTGTATGCTGCCATAAATTTCTCCTGCTGGGCAGCAGTGAAACTGCAGTTGTCAAATGAGAAAATATTTGACAGGAGAGAGAGGTGGGGCCATAGAATTCTACACTACAGCTTTCAGTTTTTAGAAAATGTGATAATGATGCTCGCATTTATGTTCTATAGAGGGGAAGGTTTACTGAATTGTTGTTACACATTAGTTGCCATACACGTCATCATAATCTACTTATTAGGATTTTCCTTTATGTGTCTCTTCTATCACTATTTGTACCCAAGGAAGTCAGACAAAATATTGTAAAGACATACTAAAAATTAGCCAGAGTCATTGTGGTATTATGTAAACATCTAAAGAAAACTCAATTGAAAGAATAAAAATAAGCAGCTAAGGAAATATTATCATTCTTAGAAAAGACTTGGGTAATTTTCATTCAATAAAATGTGAAATATTCACAAAATATACATATGTACTTTCATAGAACAATGAGTAAAGATGCTGAATGTGACTTTTTAAAGATACTCTTCCATTAAAAAAATTATAAACAGCAAGATCTTGGGAGCAGTTTTCAATAAAATTGATTTTTCTCCTGTGATTATGTATTAGTAATTTTTGTTTCCTTCCTTCCTTCCTTTCTCCCTCCCTCCCTCCCTCCTTCCTTCACTCCCTCACCCCCTTTCTCCCTTTCTTTTCTTTTTGTGATGTATTCTTATGCTATCATGCAGTATTGAATGTAGTGGCATGATCTCGGATCACTGCAACCTCCACCTCCCAGATTCAAGCGATTCTCTTGCCCCAGACTCCCAAGTAGGTAAGACTATGTCACCTGCCAATGCACACGGCAATTTTTTTTTTTTTAACTAGAGGCAGGGTTTCACCATCTTGGCCACGCTCGTGTCAAACTCCTGACCTCATGATCCACCCACCTCGGCCTCCCAACATGCTGGGATTACAGGTCTGAGCCATGGCAACCAGCCTAATTTTTTAAAAAAGTATAATTATATAATTCATTAAATAAAACAAAATCAAGAGTCCATCTGGGTCCAAAAGCTGAGCAGGAAAAATAACCATAATGCATTTTTCACCTAGTACATTTTTGGAACCAGTGCCATTAATTTAACAAATGTTTGGAATCTAGTGTATACATTTTGAGCTTATGAAAATGCTCCTGTTTATATTAATTTAAGGTAACTAAGGTCATTCTCACTGAGCTTTGACAGAAAACAACTCATTACTACATCTGAAAGTAAAAAAAAGTTGAATTAAAAAGAAATGATCATGTTAATAATTTAAAACACTAATTTACATTTCTGCCAACAGTGCACAAGGATTCTCTTTGCTCTACATTCTCAAGAACCCTTTCATCTTTCATCCTTGTGATAATTCTAACATTTGTGAGAGGAGGGCTCATTATAGGTTTTAATTTACATTTCCTTGATGATTCGTGGTGGTAAACATTCAGTTGTTCAAAAATTAGCTGGGGGTAGTAGTGCACACCTGTAATTCCAGCTACTAGGGAGGTTGAGGCATGAGAATTGCTTAACCCAAGGGGTGGAGGTTTATGTGAGCTGAGAGCACCACTGCATTCCAGCCTGGGTGACAAAATGAGACTCTGTCTCAAAATAAATAAATAAATAAAATTAAATATAGAGTTGTTGGCCATTTGACTGCCTTCTGAGAAATGTAAATTCAGATTCTTTGACAATTTTAATAGGCTTCTTTGATTTTTCTTACGTGGCTTGAGTTGCTTGTATGCATTTATTATTCACCCTTTATCATATACATGAGCTGCAGGTATTTTCTCCAAGTGTGTGGTTTCTCTCTTCACTCTGGTTATTGTTTCCTTTGCTGTGCTGAAACTTTTTAGTTTGATGTAGTGCCATCCAATTGTTGTTTTGTTGTGCTTTTGTAGCCTGTGCTTTTCCTTTTGGGGTCATAGAATAGATGTTTCAAAAATAAAATAAAATCAAAAATAGAATTACCAGATGATTCAGCTACTCTACTTCTGAATATGTACTCAGAGGATAGAAAATTAGTATGTCAGAGATATTTGCATTCCTATGTTACCATTATTCACAATAGCCAAGTTAGGAAAACAAGTGCTTATCAACAGATTAACAGATTGTGTGACACATATACACAGTGGACTATACTATACAGCTATTATTTGTGACAAAATAAATGGAATTTGAAGACATTATGCTCAGTGAAATAAAACAGGCATAGAAAGACAAATATAGCATGATCACAATTATATGTGAAATCTAAAAAATTTGAACTCGTATGCCAGGTATGGTGGTTCCTGCCTGTAACTCCAGAACTTTCGGAGGATGAGGTGGTTGGAACACTTCACAAGTTTGAGGCCACAGTGAGCCATAGCTGTGCCCCTGTACTCCAGGCTGTGAAACACAGCAAGACCCTGATTCTTTAAACAAACACACAAAAGGTAGTCAGAGATTGGAGTATGGGGTGGTGATAGTAGTGGATAGGGAAAGTGAAGATGTTCATCAAAGGGTAAAACATTTCAGTGAGACAGGAAGAAGTTATGGTAATCTGTTGCACAGAATAATTATCACAGCTAATAAATGTACATGTCAAAATTGCTGAAAACACCAGTCATGGTGTCCCAGGTCTGTAATCCCAGCACACTTGGTAGCCATGGCAGGCAGATCACTTGAGGTCGGAGTTCAAGATTAGCCTGGCCAACACAGTGAAACACTGTTTCTACTAAAAATACAAGAATTAGGTTTGGTGGCACACACCTATAGTCCCAGCTACTTGGGAGGTTGAAGCAGGAGAATCAATTGAACCCAGACTGCAGATGTTGCAATGAGCTGAGATTACACCACTGCATTCCCACCTGGGTGACGAGCAAAACCACATCTCCAAAAAAAAAAAAAAAAAAAAAGTAAAGATGGCAAAATAGCAACAGCCCCAGTCTGCAGTTGACAGCGCCAGAAGATGAGTAATCACATTTCCAACTGAGAAATCAGTCATTGGGACTGGTTAGACAGTGGAAACAGCCCAAGTTGGGCAAGCTGAAGCAGGGTGGGGCACAGCCTCAGCTGGGAGGCACATGGGGCTAGAGAACTGTCTCTCCCAGCCAAGGAAAGCCACTGGGGATTTTTCTGGACACTCTGACACTCCGGCTCAGATACCATGCTTTTCCCACAGGCTACACAACCCGCAGACCAGGAGATTCCCTCTGGCACCTACAACGCCAGTGACCTGGGTTTCCAGCACAAAACTGGGTGGCTATTTTAGCCGAGTGACACCTGGAACACTGGTGAGACAGACCTGCTCATTGTCCTTGAAAAGGGCTGAAGCCAGAGAGCCAAGTGAGCTGGCTTGGTGGGTCCCACCCCCACAAAGACTGGCAAGCTAACATCTGCTGGCTTGAAATGCTGACATCCAGCAGAGCAGTGAGAGCTTGACCTGGGATATTAGGGCTTGGTGGGAGGAGGGGCGCCTGCCGTTGCTGATTCTTTGGTAGGTGGTTTCAGCATCACCTGTGTAAACAAAGCCGCCAGGAAGTTTACACAGTGGCTGGGTGGAACGAAGCAGGGCAGCTCAGCAAGGCCTCCGCAGCAGACTGTCAAGTAGATTCCCTTCTTGCTGGGCAAAAAGACAGCAGCCCATCAGGGTCTTACAAAGCCCCCACCGTCCTGGAGAGAGGACCTGAGAAAAGGGACAGTCATGGGTTTCCCTTTAGCAAACGTAAATGTCTGAGCCCAGCATCCCTCAAGGGAGTGACAGATCCCCTAGTACAGTGCTTGAGCTTCATTAAGGGATAGACTGCCTCCTCAAGTGGCTCTGGGAACCTTTCTGTATCCTAACTGGGAGACACATCATACAAGAGAGTTCTGGCTGGCAAATGGCAGGTACCCTTTTAGGATGAAGCTACAAGAAGAAAGAACAGGCAGCAATCTTTGCTATTTTCAGCACCTGTGAGTGATTCCCAGGCAAGAAGGGTAGGAGTGGACCTCCAGCAAACTACAGCAAACCTGCAACAGAAGGGCCTGACTATTAGAAGGAAAACTAACACACAGAAATAAACAAGTTCAACATCAACAAAAAGGACATTCACTCAGAAACCCCATTCAAAAGTAACCAATTTCGAAGACCAAAGGTAGATAAAGATGAAAAGAAACCAGCACAAAAAGGCTAAAATTACCAGAAGCCAGAAAGCCTCTTCCCCAAGGGATCACAACACTTAATCAGCAAGGGACCAAAACTGGAAGGAGAATGAGGGTGACAACTTGACAGAAGCGAGTCTTCAAAAGTAGGTAATAAGAAACTTCTCTGAGCTAAAGGAGCATTTTCTAACCCAATGCAAGGAAATAAATAAACTTGAAAAAAGGTTAGACAAAATGCTAATGAGAATAACCAGCATGGAAAAAAACATAAAACAATTTGATGGAGCTGAAATATACAGCACAAGAACTTTATGAAGCATACACACAAGTTTCAATAACCAAATTAATCCAGCCAGAGAAAGAATATCAGAGATTGAAGATCAACTCAATGAAATAAAATGAGAAGACAAAATTAGAGAAAAAAGAGTTAAATGAACAAAGCCTCCAAGAAATATGGGATCGTATGAAAAGACAAAATCTATGTTTGATCAGTGTACCTGAACGTGACGGGGAGAATGAAACCAAGTTGAAAAACACTCTTCAGGATATTATCCAGGATAACATTCCCAACCTAGCAAGGCAGTCCAACATTCAAATAGGGGAAATACAGAGAACACCATAAAGGTATTCCTTGAGAAGAGCAACCACAAGGCACAATATCATCAGATTCACCAGGGTTGAAATGAAGAAAAAAATCCTAAGGGCAGCCAGAGAGAAAGGTTGGATTACCCACCAAAGGAAGCCCATCAGTCTCCCCGGAAATCTCTCAGCCAAAACCCTACAAGCCAGGAGATAGTGGATGCCAATATTCAACACCCTAAAATAAAAGAATTTTTATCCCAGAATTTCATATCCAGCCATACTAAGCTTCATAAGTGTAGGAGAAATAAAAGTCTTTACACACAAGCAACTGCTGAAGGTTTTTGCCACCACCTAGCCTATCCTACAACAGCTCCTGAAGGAAGCACTAAACAGGGAAAGGAACAACAAGTACAAGCCGCTGCAAAAACACAACAAATGGTAAACACCAATGATGCAATGAAGAAACTGCATCAACTAACTAAATTCATACAGCACAATATTAACCTTAAATGTAAATGGGCTAAATACCCAAATCAAAAGACACGGACTGACAAATTGGATAAAAAGTTAAGACTCATTGGTATGCTGTATTCAGGAGACCCCTCTCACATACAAAGGTATAGATAAAGGGTTGGGGGAATATTTACCAAGCAAATAGAGAACAAAAAAGCAGGGGTTGCAATCCTAGTCTCTGATAAAATGAACTTTAAACCAACAAAGATCAAAATAGACAAAGAATGACATTACATAATGGTAAATGTATTACTGCAACAAGAAGAGCTAAATATCCTAAATATTTATGCACCCAATACAGGAACACCCAGATACATAAAGCAAGTTCTTAATGACCTACAAAGAGACTTCGACTTCCACACAATAATAGTGGGAGATTTCAACACCCCCCTGTCAATACTAGACAGATCAACATGACAGAAAATTAACAAGGATATCCAGGACTTCAACTCAGATCTGGACAAAGCAGACCTAATAGACATCTACAGAACTCTCCACCCCAAAACCACAGAACATACAATTCTTCTCAGCACCACATCACACTTATTCCAAAGCTGACCACATAACTGGAAACAAAACACTCCTCAATAAATGCAAAAATAAACAAACAAAAACCATAAACCATAACAGATAGTTTCTCAGATCACAGTGCAATCAAA